ACAACAACAGCTCAGTGAGACAGGGAGATAACATGGAGGCAAATGAAGAAATCCATTGATTTTGGTCCGTGGTTTCCCTACCAGCAGGCTCTCACTACCAACTGTGATTTGCTTGCCTGATGAAGTGATAATCCATTACAGCCAAAAATACTAGTCCACAGATCATCTGAATTATAAGTGATAAAACTATGCACTTGGCAGGTTCCAAAATGTCATTATGCTGAAACATGGGGCAACATTTCCCATTTACAGCAGCGCTAAGCACATCCTCCTGGCCTTTCAAATCTGTTGTACAATTGCATATGGAAATAGCTTTTATGAGATGCCTTGGCAATTAGCACTGTACATGTAAGGAAGAGTCAGAGACAAAGCAATTGTCTGGTGATGTTAAACTGTGCTCTTTACAGACATGCAAACCAGACAGGCTGTTGCAAATTAATCCAACCTTTGACTAAAATAATCCTTTGAACCTATGATCTGCCTGAAAAATAAGAGTTATACTACTGCCATGACTTTTCTGTTAGTCATTATCAGGTACTCGGAGGCACCAAGTCCTGCTTGAAAATCAGCTCCTGGGGAGAGGCAGATTCATTTCTACTCCATGCTGCTCAAGTACCCTGTTTTGCTTTAAAGTGGTTGTCCAGTGAGTTGCTTTCACTGGTGCCCTAGATTGTTGGCTTTACCAAAGCAACAAGCCTTTCTACATCGCAACTACTGTCTCCCCAGAAAAGTTCTAAATCGCAAAAAGCTCTTAAAAACAATAAACAGACAATCTTCCTGCTTTGCAGACTGAAAAATACCAATTTCTGTCAGCTGTTCATAGGAGCCCAAAAGGAACCAGAGGTTGAAAAGGTTAAAAAAGTGAGACTTAAACAAATTTCAGATGTTTACCCCTGGATTGTCCTCAAGAGGAAGCCTGATTTTCCATCAAGCTGGATAAGCCCCTGAACACAGAAGCATGTATCTGAGATCACAAACTTATCCACCCCAACACCAACTTTAATGGGCATACTCCTAAATTCTCATGGCAACAACCATCTGTGCAACATCCCCAACGCTGGGGAAGAGGGAATGGCGTGCATGGGGTCCTCACATCCCTTCAGGGCAGGCCAGCAGGACAACACAGCTCAGTGCCCGCACTCGCACCAGCTCATGGCACAGCAGGCGCTGCAACACAGTTCCTCAAGCCTGGTCTTGGAGTCCTGCTTGCAGCAAGACGTGACTCCTACCACGAGGACAGGTTTGATGGGTGCCGTTGGGGAGACTACAGCACAGTAAAAGCACCTAGAGCAGCCACAAGGCCCTGCAGACACTTCTCTTCCCGCAGCAGCTCTTCGCAATTCAGTGTCTCCAGCCTGGCAAACATGAACACGCTCCGCTTCCCTCGAGGAGATGGGCGAGATCTGCTGCCGCCTGCTCAAAGGCAGCCCAGCTCCAAGCAAGCCACAGAGCTGCCGCTGCCAGCAGCCGTCTCAGCTGCCTGAGCTGACCCCCGCGCACCACCTCCCAGGCGGGTGGTACATCGCGTACAGCCGGTGCGCTTTGTCACCTTCTCCTCAGACACCCCGCATCGGGGAGGATTAAACAGCATTAGCTGCCTTCCCAGAGGCCCCCATCCTGCTCGAGACCAGCGTGGGGAAAGCGGGAATCGCAGCCTAAGGATTAGGCACCCTCGTCCTGAGGGAAAGGCAAGGGAGGGGGCTGCACGTTAGCTGGGCCACAAGGGAAGGACACCCCGCGCTCGCACGAGCCCCGGTGCTTCCCTTTCCAAAGGGGACCAGGACCGTTGTCACCGCTGCCACAGCCTTCGGCCACCGAGTGCAGCTGCGGGCAGGGAGCCCCCTCCAGCCAAACCCACTACCGCCACCACGAAGGTAGAAGTCAAGTCTCCTGCTGGCACCAGGAAAGATCGCTCCCGTGGGTCATGGCCAGAGCAAACCTAAGGCAACATTATCAGTGCACCGAGCTTCGGTGTTACCTGGCCTTCACGCCTGCAGCTTCCAGTGTAGCGACTCCCATGACAGCAGGAACAGTCGAAGTGCAGTGGCTGCACACAAGTGCCTGGGAACAGAGAGCTACAGTAAGGAACAGTCACACAAAGCAACACTGCAAATATCTGCTGCCCACAGCCGTTTAATTAGGAGAAGCAGGCAGCCTATTTAGAGCAGAGCTTTCTGCTTCACTTACAGCAACTGCGGCACAGGGAGGAGGCAGGCCATTAGGACTGTGCTTCCTAGGAGATTTTCACAACAAGGAAGGGGAGGAACCCCACATTTTTTGCACACTGAAGATAATTTTGCTGGCACTTCTGATCTGTTAAGCAAAGCTACTAGTGAAGCTACAGTAACACACTTCAATTGGGCTTTTTTCATCCCATTCTTCACATCACACCTACCAGAAGGTGACAAGAAAAGGAAAGAGCACTGTCCAAACAGACTAAGAAACTAGTCCTAATTAAAGTGGGCCTTGGCTATTCAAGCACAGACAGGCGACACTCACTGCTGTTCAAACACTAACACGTCTGCTGACTAGGCACCGCAACACAATAGCGGCATCGCCATTGCATGGTTTTAATGAAGTCAAGAAACTGAGAGTTATATCAATGCAGTAAGCCATCACTGTTCTTGAACTATCTGTTTTGATATCAAACCCTTGTCATTTTATATACCCTTAGGTAGCTGAGGCAGCAAGTCATTACTCATGTAATAATTATGAGGCAACCAACTGAGGAACTTGCTCTGCTGAGCAAGAGACACCTCTCTGATACCTCCACCCTGGGTACACTGCCCTCCATTAGGTAATCTTCCCCCAGGGTACCTGCAGCCCTGCTGGAGAGCTTTTTTTGGCCCCATACTTTCCTATTGTTTGAAATGCAGAGGCCACATCTTGAGACTGAACTAGTCCCCCAACATCTGAGGATTTTCTTAGCCTAACAGTCCAAGAGCTTTCAGAGCAGTAATCTCCAGCGCAATGGCTTCAAGGCAGGTAAGAAATTCCCAATATTTTAATTGAATAATATAAGCTGGCCTCAGTCCTGGTCGCTTTAATGGAAAGAGGTCCCAGCTGGGTGGCTACATAACCCCAGTCAAGTTCCACCTTACTTGGTCATAACCCAGGCCTATCCAATACAAACCATCTTTAATCACAAAGCCTTGAACTTTGCTTCAGCAGGGAGAGTACAGATGACTGCAGGCATCCTTCCAATTATTCATCATCTTTTAATATATTGCCCTGAAACAGCTGTTCCTCACCCATCATAATCCTGATGGATGTCTTTCTTACCTGGAAGGCAGTAGGTCCCAAAGAGAGGCAGCATTTCCATCAGCCAAGAAAGGGAGCAGAAGACAAAGCAGAGCTGAGGGTCACTTCCCCCTTATATTGAGACTGCCAATTAAATTGATCTTAAAAACCTGTGTTGAGCCTCAGAGGAGAGGCAGGAGGGTGAGAAAAGGAGTTTCCCTTCTCCTCCGTGGTGCAGATTGCCTTTAGCACGTGTGTGGTTGTGGGGCCGGTGCAAGCCCAGGTGTGGCTGGTGGAGGGCTGAGCAGGCTGCAGGTGCCCTTTCCGCTGCCCCCAGAGAGCTGCCAGCGGCGCCTTCCAGACCGGCCCGCTCCCACCCGCGTCCGTCCCGGGCAGCCCCCTCGGGCCCGGAGCCTGGGAGTTATCCAGGTGCCCGATGCAAAGCTCCTAGCTAGGTTTTCATTAAAACTAATGCAAAACGCCTCAAACTCTGCATAGGCCGTAGGGCCTGAAGATCCCCTGCGCAGGTCGGAGCTGCAGCGTGCGAGGCGCGACGGGAGCGGAGCAGAAGGGCGTTCGGTTCCCAGCTTGCCTGGCTGGTCCTCTCCCCCCGCTCGGTCGGCTTGTCATTCTCCCCACGCTACAGCCGGCCAGGCGTATATTTTCCCAGAGCAGCCTGTCAGAAGAGGACAAGAAAAAGCCATTTGTTTCCAGCCTTGAAATGTAATTTTGTTTTTTATTATTGATTTTAAGGTTGTAAACGCTCTGGCTGTGTCTGGTTTTAAATGCTAATGACAAAAACAGTGAAAGGCGATGAAGGAGTGAGGCAGGAAATTGAACCATTTTGCAGCTACCGAAGTCTTTAAACATCCCTGACTATACAAGGAAACCAACAGGGAGAATGTAAGGATGATAAACAAGTAATTTGCTGTCTTGAAGGTGCCCACAGCTTCAATTTTTCCTCCAGCAGTTGCCTCTACTTCAGCCGGCTGTTTCTACACACGTGGATAAACTTCTTAAAGCACAACAACAAGGGAAAAACTAAACTTTGATGGGGTGCTTTCGAGGGTGGTTCGGGGGGACACGGGGGGCTTGGCTGGATGGGGCTGAGCCAGGCACAGGGGACAGGTGGTGACGCGGGGGGGTCACATCACAGCTTGGGCACAGCAGCGCCACGGACCGTGGGTCAGCCCGCCGCGTATGTTCAAGGCAGCGTCTTTAAGCTCTGATACTTCAAAATTTAGTCCTTTGAAGCATCACTGGCAGCTTTTGTTACCCTGCCTGCAAATTTTATGGACAACAGGTTCGCCTGGGTTTCCCATTGGGACCGAACCCGCTGGTTCTGCCGAGCAGCTTCCCTACCTGGCAGCTCTTGGGGACCTTCACTGCGTGTGGAGCATGTTTGCTTATGCACCCAGACATGCTCTCTAGTATTAAGCAGGATCACAGGTTTTACTTAAATGGAAAAAAACAGATCTGATTGAGGGAAGTGGGGGGGGGGAGAGGAAGAAGGGGAGAGATTGACACATCTGGCTTGTAATTACCTTAAAATTATAGAAGCTTCTGCCTTCAGTTCCTGGAGCTGTATGACAGACAGTGCTGCCCAATTATACAGGAGGGTTTTCTCCCCCGGAGGGTAACAGCAGGCACAGCGAAAGTGTCGAGTCAGGTGCCCATCTGGAGACAGCCGAGCATTTGGGGCATTTCACCTTGCATCGGCCCGGACCAGGGCCGTGTCCGATTCTCCAGCACGCCCGGTGATGGATGCAATCGCGTGCTCTACTTGGTGGCTAAACTGCGGAGAAAATCTTGCCCCTAACAAAGGTACCGCGCACTAACTTTTCTGAGAACTCTTCACAAACTTTGCCAGCAACAAAAATTAAATTATATCACGTGTTCAGCTTTCCAGCTCCCCAGACCAGCTCCCCCTTGCCCACACAGAGCTGGCCACCCCGGGCCACCAGCTCCCACCACGTGTGGGAGAGCCACGTTTCCACCAGCGAGGGAGGGTCTCATCCGAAAGGTGCTGATTTGCACTGTGCTACAGTTACCCTAAGACGAGCAGGAGCAGAGAAACAGCTCTGGGTTTGATGAAACACGTGCAGCCTGGAAACACCAGCAGCATGTCAAGAAATGTTCCGGAAAGCAACAGGAGTTTATTTTTTAACCCATCTGCTTGAAAAATTTCCTTGCTGTGATGCTCTCTCCCTCTGAAGAAAGCAAATGGATTTCTTCTTTCTGAGGATCATTTTTTTTCCTCGATGAATTAGCCTCACTTCTCTGTAGGTGCCTTTGTGGAAGTAGTCTCCCTGCTGTTAAACTTACACAAGTCCAGAGTAAAAGCTCTGACTCGGAGGGAATTGCTCCCAAATCAGACTGGTGGTAGTGGAGGCAGAGTCCGTCCTCGAAACGCTCTAAATGCTTCTTCCTCTCTGCACAATCTGCCCTTCCATCTCTGCCTTCGTCTAAGCTTCTCGCTGCTGTGTGGGTTTTTTGCATTGCCCTCTATTAATCTTCCAGAAAATCAGCTGTCTGATCACTACTGTAGAAAATTGCATTATTCCCTGAAACACCTTCCTATCTCTAACTCCAGCCCCTTAGAGAGGCACTTTCTTTTGATGGGTGGTTTATGTCCATAGGGCCTCTTACAAGGATGAATGTCTTTTAATTAGATACAAACGGTGCTCCTTTATGGTTATTAGCAGGGATCTGCAAATCTTTATTCAGCAAATACTAACCCTCTTTCAGGCAACTTAATTGTAGTATCACACTCAGTGAGCCAGAGCAGGAGCCGCAAGCAGCACATTTGGTTTCAAGCGGCTAACTGATGTCGAGAAGCTTGTGCTGATGCATTTCTTTTGTTTTCTGCTGTTTATCTTTCCCCAGTGAAGAATGGCAAAAATCTTGGAAATAGATGTTTGTCTTTTTTTCTTACTGACCTCATTCCTTAGACAGTAGGGAAAAAACAAAGCATAAGTACTACAAAGCGAAAGGAAACTGCATAAGTGTACAGGTAGGTATCTTTATACATGCAATAAAAATATTATGCAGTCGCACATGGTATGAGAAGACACACTGATCACTCAAAAGAAGCAGGAAGGGAAGATCAGCAGACGTGAGGGAAAGAAAAGGCAGGAAAGCGGCGCCCGAGCTCCTGCCATCTGGCCCAGGGCTTAGCCACAGCCGTACTCGTGCAGGCAAGAACCGTTGTAGCTCTTCTCTCATCTGTATTTTCAGCTGTGCAATTTCTAATGCATGTCTTCTGAATGAAACTATCGTTTTTCTGAGTCATCTATTGTATTTCCACTGATTCAAACTATATCTAACTCTTTGCAACTGTTGTCTGCCACTGCTGTGTCCTCTGTATTTTACTGTTCCCCTCCAGCTTTTCCGATTTTCCTTTTCCATGGATTTTTCCAGGCTCTCTTAACAGCGCCATAAAAGCGCAGATGAGACGTGGGATAGTTATTCACCATCCGAGGCAGGGTCTGCTCTGCAGATGAGCAGGATCCCGCTCCCCACCTTCAGGGGTGAAAGAAGAAGGTGAAAACAGGCAAAGCAGGGCAGAGCTGGGGCTCTCAGGACGTCACACCACTAATTTTTGGGCTGCCTCTGCTGGGGGGCCTGGGGCCCGGCTGCGCACCCCCAGGCCAGGGCTGACTCCCCCTCGCTGCTTCCGGCGGGGGTGTCCGGGCGCTCCGCAGCCGCTCCGGACGGAGGTTTTTCCCGCCGGGCTGGGGGAGCCGGGGGCGAAGGTCCTGCTCCAGGGCAGGATGATCAAACCCCTGGGGCAGATCCCTCACCCTGGGCTGCTGCTGGAGAGGGGAGCAGAGACGCGAGGGTGGGAGCAGAGAGGATGATTCCCAGCCTTCGGCCCGTGCCCAGAAATCACCCCGGTACAAACCACCGGCGAAGGCCGGGGAGGGCAGAGCGCGGCGGGAGGGAGAGCAGCCGCACGGCGCTGGAGCCAACCAGCGAGGGGAGCTCCCAGGCTAACCCGGCAGCGCGGGCGCGCCAGCCGAGAGCCCTCTTCCCGCGGGGACGTGCACAACGCGGACAGCACTTACCTGACCTTCCTATTACTCTTCGAAGGAAAAGGCCAAGGGGATGTAGCTTTTTCTGCGCTAAACGGAAGGAGCAAAGAGGACTCCCTTTCCCCCTCCAACTTAGCAGCCTCAGGGAGAAAGGGGAACTGCAAGATGAGCAGTCTGGGGAAAAAGGGGCATTTGGGGTTGCCTAGCGCAGAGGAGAGGAAGGAGGTCAAACCCTGATCCAGGGACACTTGCACCCACCGGCTTAGAAGGAAGATTAGGACTGAGCAGCCCAGCGAAAAGGGCAGTTGCAGCCGCTCAGCTCGGGGTTAGTGTGAGCAGCGCAAGGGACAGGGGGTGACAAGCTGCTCCGGTGGCAGGAGCCGCTCTGGGAGACGTGTACAGGCCCCGG